AGGATCAGAGGATTCTTGATTTTCTTTAGGATCAGAGGATTCTTGATTTTCTTTAGGATCAGAGGATTCTTGATTTTCTTTAGGATCAGAGGATTCTTGATTTTTTTTATTTCTCGAAATATTTAGCAAAATTACAAAAGTTATCGGAAACAATGTGTTGAATAATGAATCATATACATCTTGGTAAGGTGAATAAGATTTGTCGACTATGGATGCCGTTGCAAATGGGACTAGTAAAAAAAACATGACTTGGTTTTTTTTATTTTGTTAAAGCATGCGTATTTATACTGATTCTATCTTTAACCCGAGATGTTTCTTATTATAATTTTGGTGAAGTGCCAGATGATTTTCTGGCCACTTCGACAGCAGTAACTCAATGGTCGATATTCAATATGAGGAAACAAAGAAATAATAATAATAGAAAAACGATCGACGTTTAAATGCGTGGTCACCCGTCGATCCAATTAAATGAAGTTGCCCGAAATGGCAATTTACACGAGTTTTCTTAATTTCAGCATGTAATGTAGGAATGCAATCATTTTTAATAAAGAGATAAGATATCAAAAACACTTACCTTCCGAACAATGTGCCAAACCCTATAGATTCGCCAAATCCACACCCTTTCCGTCATACCCAGCCCGTAATACATACCTATACCCCTTTCTGATCGTGGTACCAGACACGAAGCTCTGTACTTCGCTTCGCCGCTAGAAGACTCTAACAATAAACCGTTTGTGTTCAGATAAATTTTAGCCATCGTATAGCCACCCGTTCTTATACCTTTGAATTCACAGTCTTTGTATTTAAACTTTTATATTTATTGAATAGTCCCTTTTGTATTTTTATCAAGAAAATTTTTAGTATTAATAAAAACCAAATTGCTATTTTAACAGAATGACGAGTTTTTGTTTTAGTTAAACGGGATTTTTTTATTGAATAAATAAATAAATAGTTAAGTTATTATTATAAATATTACAATTCCACATTAATAGTAAAGTAAAATAACATACGTACTGTAACAGGGAGAAATGGGACGCGACGTTAGACCATGCGTCTTGACAATGGTAAGTCGGCTGTAATAATTAGGTGATGAGAGAAATTATGTAAGATAGCTTTAAAGCCCCGTCATGTATTATAGCTTATTATTCTATACCCAAGCCGCCATAGCCAAATGTAAAGAAAGAGAAGTATAAAAGAATGTAAAGCGTAAAGGGAAGAAGAAATGAAGTAAGAAAATTAATAAAGATTCGGTCAAATACAAACACGCCTAAAATCACCCTTTCATTTATTTACCCAGTAACGGTTACGCGAATCTCTGCTAAAGTGAGCGACTGACTCGCCGTTACACCGTTACAGTACATATATATATTATTTGAACATTATTTATATACACCCCGTCTATACTTAGCGTTCATTAAATTTTACTACTACTCTCTTTTTTTTATTGAACTTCGTATCAAAACAAATATAAATTTATTAAAATTATAATAAATACAATACACGATGTACTATATCTAGTTCTCATGTGGTCCTATAATTATTCAATACCGTTATTTTTCCTTAAATTTTGTGATTTAATCTGTTAATTGTGACCTTAAAATTTTTAATTTTAACGCTATCGTACTTACAAAAATTCTATGTGCTATCTATTTTCTCGTACATTCAGTTTTATTTACTAGTGTAACTTCAATACTATGAGATAAACCTTAATAAAGAAATATTTACTTTATGCACTAATAAATCCTGCATAGTCATTTTTATTATACTGTATAATTGCTTTTTCCTGTAAATATAAAGTTTGGTCAAAGATCATTATAAAATTCCTGATTACTTCATACTTGCAGAAGATTTCAAAAAAAATTCGGAATATTTTCAATAGACAGATTTTTCTAAATTTAATTATAAACCTTTCTTTATATTTTCATAAGTTTTAAACATTGCTAAATTTAAAAGGTTAATTTTTTCAAAATAGAGAATTCACATTAAATGTAATTTGCTAATATTAAACTTATAATATTTTTATTATTAAACAACTTAGAACTTGGAAAAAGGTTTTAGTCAACAATCCAAGATTTTGTTAAATGTTTACATTTATCCAATTAACTAAAGTAATATATTACATAATTATATAATAATTCTCAAGCTTTGAACTTGAAAAAATAAAAAACATGTTACAAATAACTAGCCATTTATTAATTATTTTGTGGTTGAAATTATTTGCTACATTTTTAATTTTATATAAATAGAATAAAATTATAATTCATTTACAAAAGATAAATACAATAGTTAATAGTTGAAGTTGTTAAAGAAAGTTTGGAAATAAAAAAATTTGATTAAATATTAATGAAATAATAATAAAATTGTTAATTCATTCTTTAATAAATATTTATTAACTATAATTTTTTTTATACAATTATAACTACATGTTTCTTAGCCTTATAATTATTAAAAATCTTATATGTACTTTATAAATTAAAGTTTATTATATTAGAAATTATGTCTTTTTTCTATTAGTTCTTTAATTTATGCTGTTTTTTAAAATCTGATTAATATACTGTAATATCTTTTTTCAATAATTAATATTTGTAAAAATATTTTTTATAATTAAACAAAAGTGACAAGAATAATTTAGATTAATTATTTATATATTAAACAAATAGTTAATGCTTTTGACAAATTTGCTATTATAAAAAAAATTTGAACAAATTAATAATTGTTTTTTCCTATCAAAAAATTAATCAACAATTTTAAAAAATTCTTAAATATTTGTAAAATATTTTATTAATAATTTTTTTAAATATGTTAATTATTATTTTATTATACAGTATATCCAAATTTTATTATTAAAAATATCTTAATAATTGTTTTGCATTTGACTTATTCTATCTTAATACCAATATATTATATATTATAATATCAATAGAATATATATACTTTTTTTAAAACATTATAATTTGTTATATTTTTTTTAACTATACAAATAAACTTTTGAATTCTTTACAAATATTTATCACATTTATTATTTAAAAATTACTTATTTAAAAAAAAAAAACTCTTTCCCATAAATCGATTTTTGGCAAAAAATTTCTTTTTATAGTAATAACCTTTAAAACAAACACTTTGTTCCTTTCCAAGCGCCTCCAAGCGCACTTTACTCCCTAACTACTCCCATCATGGAGCTCTCAACTTTCTCAACAAATCAAAAACAATTTCTTCATGCAACTATCCATAGTGACTGGAACCGTAAACTCCAAATTTACTACCTTGACTTAAAAACAAATACAATCCA